CATCAGAATTCAGTCTTAACAACCCACCAAGAGGTGGCTTCTTGGCGGTACAACATACGTTAAATTTTGAAGAAATGAAGTTTGGTTGTATGAGCAATGAAAGTATTATTTGTAGCAACAATTTTAATTTATGGAAATTACATGAGCATTTCATTTGACGCACTTGAATGAATGCCTTATCTAACTCATACGGACGTTTTCTGTATATGACGGGGCACATATTTATTAAACTAGAATTTACATAATTTTTTTTAAACATAGAAGTCTTTATCCATTTGTGGTTTTACTAAATAAAACGACTTTTTTCATCAGTTTCAAGAAATATGCAATAGAATTTGAGACCGGCGTCCTAAAAATATAATACTAAAGCTACAAAAATAACTAGAACGGAAATATATTTATGAAGTTAGAACTTACGTAAATATTTTGAACCATAGATGAAAATATTTTTCCATTCATGATTTTGAAAGCCAAATTCTAATAAAAATATTTTTTATTTAGCTCACCTACATCCATACCTTACCACATCTACAAAAAGAATTACTTCCTCCTTTCACAAATATAAGATGTTCTATCTTTTTTCTGATTCGGTTGTGTGTTTGTTCACTTATTTCAGCCTATATGTAGTTCATGTTAAAATATTTAGAAAATCTTATATTTTATGAACGGAGGGAGTGTAATGCAGTAGTTGGGTCGTTAAGTTGTATACGTTGAAGCATGTAAAGATCAGAAAACACACTGAACTACACAAACTAAAAGATTTAAGGGTCGGGCCTATACACAAGAGGGTGCGTGGTCCTTCGTTTAGTTTGCACCAAAAAAATGATTCAAGAGCTATATACCCGCGACAACTATATCTCGCTTAACGCAAGAATAGCTCTCGTCTCGCCAGAAACACTTATGTGGGCATACATTACTGGGGCCACACATGATTAGTGTTTTTTTTGCTCCACGCTAGTTCAGTCGGGGTTTGTTGTGGGGGCGCCTATACCTCGCCTGACGCGACCTCGATGGTAGGCTCGCCTGGAGTGAGTGCCATACTAAGTAAACTTAGGTGCGCGGGAGTCCACTTACTCATTTTCCCTCTTTTTTTGTATCTTTTTTGCTTTTTATCCTTTCTTACATTTGTTTATACTTCCAAATATTCTAAAAATATACAATATTACAAAAATAAACTTTACCTACATTTTTTAGAAATGCCAATCATGCATTTGAAAAATGTTAAATGTGTATAGAAAAAATGTTCCTGATGTTTACAAAAAATGAGTAATGTGTATGGAAAACAATAGACATCAAAATATATATTTTAACTAAAAAAGTCAATAATCTGCGTCAAAAAATGAGTAATGTGTATGGAAAATAATGTTCCTGATATGTTTATTGAAAAAGTTAACATAAAAATATCTAAAAATGTTGATCGTGTAACGAAAACATGTTAATCATTTTTTTAAATGTTAACCGTCCATTAAAAATGTTCCTCGTGTACACCGAAAATTTAAATTGACTATGGAAAAATTGTCGTTAAACACAAATATTTTAGAAAAATGTCATTTAAAAATTCCAAATGTGTACAATTTTTTCCCAATGTATAGGAAAAAACTTGAACATATATTGAAATTTTTTAAGATGAAAATATAATTTTAAAGTTGTTGATTGTATATAAAATCTGTTAAACATCCATTTTTTTGCGGGAAAAAACAATGTTCCTGATGTAAACATAAAATGTGTAAATATGTATGAAAAATGTAGAGATGCGTTGAAGAAATGGAGGAAAGAAACAAAAGAAACCAGGGTTAAAAATGTCAACGAAATTTCAGTGGAAAAGATAGGTAAAACATAAGAAAACCGAATAAAACAAGAAACCAGAAAAGAGTTAGAAAAACAATGAAATACAGAACAATGCAAAAAACTGGAGAAGAAAGCTACATAGGAAAATAACTGGAAGAAAACCAGAAACTAAACCCAGTTGTTGTTGTTGTTGTTGTTTTAAAGGGGGACAAACTAAACTCAGTTAATGAAACTCAGTGAACCCGAATGAAACACAGCGAATGAAAAAAAAAACAGATGAATTGTTATAATGCAGGATGAAGCTTCAGGCGAGACGGAAGGATCAATCGCCCTAAGCTAGATATAGCTCCCGTTGTTCATTTGGGTTAACTGTGTTCGTTTCTTTCAGTTTTAATCTTCGCATCTACTACATTACGTTTTTATTTTTCTTTGAGTTTTTCCTATCGCTTTTCACTGGTTTTCTCCCTTTTATTTGTTTCTTATGTTTTTCACTGGTTTACTTTTTATTTGCTTTTCTTTGTTTCTTTCTCGGTTTTTGCTGGGTGTTTTTGCTTTTCTTTCTTTGTTTGTTTCTTGGTTTTCATTGTTTTCTTTCGTTTTTCCTTCTTTCCTTCCATTATTTTGCATTGGTTCTCTTCGGTTTTCATTCATTTACTTGGTTTCTTTGTATTCTTTTTTGGTTTTTATTGGATTTCCCCTTTTTCCTTTGTTGATTTTTATCGTTTTTATTCAACACATGTTAACTCTTTTCAGTACACATTTAATATTTCTCGTATACAATAGGAATAAATCTTATAGACATGTTTAGCATTTTTCAAAAAAGTTGAACATGTTTCGAATACATAGTGAACATTTTTCAATACATGCAATATATCTTATACATTTATTTAATGTATGATGTACAATTTTTTTGTATACTATAGGAACATTTATTTATACACTATCAACATTTAATTTTTCATACGCACTCTATATTTTTAAGTATTGTTCGTATATATTATAAACATTTTCCAGTACACATTTAAGATTTTTTTAAATGTTTTTTCAAACATGTAATTCACTTTTTTTTAGTTATTGATTAACATACCGCAAGATCACGGCCCCCCAAAAAAAACCCGCCGTCATTGTTCACGTACCGCCAGTGCAGACAAAAGCTGTATTTTTTCCAATCTGCACCTCCATATAAAAAATTTCTTCACAAAATTTACCAAACCTGAGGGGCCATGGCACCTGCAGGGTTGCATGTAGCTCCGCCAGTGCAGGAGAGTAGTACTTCCAGAGGTTAACACTTAACAGACGCGACAAAGAAGACAGGATCGATCTAGCCATGGTCGCCAGACATGCTTAGGAAGTTAGACTAGCCACAATGGAAGTAATTTCAGTTGTAACATCGAGTCCAACTCAGCAAATTTGCTTATGTGGTAATGAGTTAATGAGGAGAGAGATAGTTGTAGTAACTTAGCTAGTTACTGTAACATCACATGTCCCAATGCAATATGAGTCTATAACCTAATAAATAAAGCTTTGCATGTTACCACACTTATGTTACTACCAACTATGAAGATAGTAACATAGTCTAGGGATATGTGTATGTTACTAGTATATGTTACTCCCCGTTGTGGCTAGTTTTATGGGAGTACTACTACGCGGCAGCTGCAGCACGTAGGGGGCATTAATCAACCGCAGATTTGTTTTTTGTTTATAGCGCGTGCCGGTGAGTGTCCGTCTGCATGCACGTGTAGAAAGAATGGTGGTGGACTAGTGGCCGGCCGGCCGGCCGGAGCGCACGGCACGACCACGACAGAGCGGGCGCTGCGACAGGGCATCCGAGGCAGAGTGCGAGCGAGCAAACGAACCGCTGCCGCCTGCCGGAAGGGAAAGGACTCTACCACTCTACAGTCTACGCTGCCTGCGGTCCAGCTATGTATTCGTTCGCATCTGCGGTCGATCGATCGTTGGATATCTCGCCGCAGACGGCAGCCAGTGGTTCTAATCTAATCAAATCTTAATCTTTGGAGCGGTTTCGGTTTCCAGCAGCACGTACCATCGGGGCCGGGAGCACTTAAACTTCCATTTGTTCTTCGTCGACCTCCGTTCACTGTCACCACAGTGCCACTCTAGCTAGCTAGTGCAGCAGTAGTAGCTTGCTGCGGCTGATCCGTGCTGTGTGCATAATCGCCAAGAATGGCGGAGTCGCCGCCGCAAATCACACGACCTATGCCAATGCCGCCCAGCAGGGCAGGCTTGACCCGAGAGAGACGGACTGGACAGCTGCAGCACGTAGGGGGCAAGAGACATTGTTGTACTAGACATATTTTTTTATTCGTAAATATATATAAAAATTGTGCAAATTCTATCCGAATTTTAATGAATATCGGATGGTTTACATGAATTTCGTCCGGTTAATTCAAATGTTGTGCCGATGCGTGGTTAGAGCTCGTCACATGCAAGAAATAG